GGCCCTTAATTAAACCCGGGCCGGGGGCCCCAAAAAGGTTGGGGGCCTTGGGGGGCCCGGGGGTTAGCCGTGCAGAACCCTAGGAGGGGCGGGCGGCGGTGCAGGCGGGCCGGCTGGTGGCCGGGGTAGCCTGCCTCCCGTGCGCTTCGCGCCAGCAACCCACGCCGCAGTGTGTTCTGTGGACGGCACCTTCCCAGACAGCCCGGCAGAAACGCAGCTCGGCGCCCCCAGCCTTGGACGCGATGTTCCGCAGGAGCTTTAATCGCTTTGTAAGTACACGCGCTGCGGCTCCACGCGGGCCGGTTCGCTGGCTCGTCAGTCCCTCTGCTGGGTCCCTCAGAACAGTTTTCTGCGGAGATAAGTGCATCTGTGGGAGACACCACCTTTTAATATTCACTGAAATATGCTGCCCTGGCAGCCAGGGTGGGAGGCAGGTAGGGCTCTCAGAGGACACCCCCCCCATCACCCCGGACGATTTAAGCTGAGCTTCCTGGGGCCGTTACAAACTCAGCCTGAGACGGGGTGGGGGTGCCTAGGGCCGGATGGTGGGGGACCGACCGAGGTTTGCCAATTAGTCGAAGATGGCGTTTTATGATCAGGGAGGTGGCTTTCTTTTGTTTCTTCTGCTACGAGCACATGGAGGTAAACGTAAACCTGTCTCCGTGGCAGAAAAGGTGGCCGAAAAGGAGATTCGGGGGCTTAAGGGGGCCTGAGGCGAGGGCAGGACTCAACCTTACCTGGGGCTCAACCGGCCGGGCGGGTGGGTGGCTGATGATCAGAGGCTGGATAAACTTTGGAGACCGAGCCTAAAAAGCTCACCTTCAGGGGCTGATAAAAGCTAGGGCGATTGTCAGTGTGGACTGGATGGATGTGGAGACTCCAGGAGGCGGCACAGCCGCCGCGAAGCATCTCGTCCAAAGCCCCCTGGAGCCCTGAACGCCCCAGGCACTGAACCCTCGGGAGAAGGCAGGCTGCTGCTGAACAACTCCGCCCACGTTTACCCCCTTTCCAGTTCCCCAGAACAGGGAGTTGGGCATTGGGAAAAAACGATTTCTGGCTACTATCTTTTGAGTAACCTGTTTTACTCCTAGAGGGTACATTAAGAATGGAATAAAACAGGGACCATGTCTTCCATGTTGATATTTTGTAGTAACTTCCTTAATTGCAAGATGAGTTGGGGATAGGATTTTATTTCTGCCAATGATGTGAAAGAAGGCTTTGTCTTTAAGTTTAGATTTTTTTATCCTTAGGAAAAATGGTTGAGTGCTGTGCGCTCCCAATAACCGCCTCACAATATAGGTTTGAGAACTTGTCGACTTGGTTCTTTTCATGTGTTTATTATTCCTGATCAAAGTATTGGTGACATTTTTTTTAAATGGTTGGATGATTTTGCTCTAATATTTTGTGCATTTGAAACTTTCACAAATGTACTGTGGCTAAACGAGAATTATAATCCCCTTTTAGGATAGTAGTATCACAAGAGTGCTGCGTTAATGTTTTTCTAAATGTTTACCTCATCCATAAACATGTCTTATGAAATTGGAGCAGATTATCTGTGGCAGTCAGTACCGGTTGTACATATCAAGGATCTTGAAATCCATAGGAATTGGCTTGTATTTGATGCTTTGCTATGAAGCAAGTGACCAAAATTGGTTTCTCATGTTTAGCCAAAGAAGGTAAAAGAATATTCTACTTCATAGGTTTTTGGGAAATGTAACTGTGTTGTTTGGGGGTGACAAAAAGGGAAAGGTGACAAAAAACTAATGGTAATATTTGGGAAAAGAATACTCTTTTCACATGACACTCTTATAATGGAAAAACAACTGGCCTCTGGTTCATAATAAATTCATTAGCTTAAAATTAAGATGTTGACATTCTCACTTTTTTGAGGATTTGAACATTTGAAAGCAAGCAATGGAAGTATTGGTCTAAAAGCCCCTTTTGCTTTTCTTTTGCTGAGAGTGATCTGCATTGTATCAGAGTAGTAATTAAGTAGTGTTGGCCCAAGAAGCCAGGGCATGCAGTAGAATTTGCAGCAGTTCTTGAGGTGCCAACCTGCAGATTTGAGGCTAGTACTTGGCATTTCCAATCAAGATCTTTCTGCAGAGAATCACTTAAACTCACACTGAAATGAGCTTTGACCTCATTGTTTCAGTTAGAATACCTGACTGCTCAGTTTCCTACACAGTCATGACTATGGTTAGGTCTCGGAATTTCTACCAGTGAAGTAAACTGGAAGATTCTCAGGAGTTGTATCTGAGGCCTAGAGCAAACCATTGCATTGAATGTGAAACATGCTATTGCATACTCATTGCTAAAGAATTACTTCAAAATTTTGGGTGGCCAGATTTTATCTCCTTTAGATCAGGAAGCCTCATGTCCTCTCATTTGCCTAGTAGAGATTATTTGAGGGGCACTCCCATTTACATCACAGTAAGGCTACCATTAAAGATTTAGGTTGGACTTTGAGACTTGCACAGCAGTATAATCCAAGTTGTGTGATGTCTTATGATTGCTTTTATATTTCAGAGATGGGGCTATGAATTCTTACCAAAATTAAGGTGTTTTTTTTTTATATGCCTAAAGTCTGAAATTGACTTTGAATGTGAAATACATTGCATGAGTGGTGTTTGTAGTTGCTGGTCACTGAAAACTAGATACTGCATGTTAGTACAGGGCTTTATATTTTAAATCTGACATGGGAAGTAAATATCTCTTGGGAGTAGCATCATCTATGGCTTAGTAGTGTTTGCTGAATCATTTTTAAAAGGCTATTGATTTCCCCAGGATCTCTAATTTCAAACTACAAGAAGTAGTATTCAGAGACTTTCCATCCTAAAACCATGGCCCAATTTATCCATAACCAGGACCCCCGCCCCCTCCCCCAACACACACACATGCACGCTGATAAAGATGCTGTTACTTTTGATTGGCTAGGTTTTAGCAGAATACAGTAGGTCTTCAGGTTACGTCGTCGGAGATCCGTTCCTACGGCGTGATGTAACTCGATTTTCCCCGTAAGTTTGAACCCACCTACATAAGCACCTACGTCACTCACATGGAG